ACAGGGCATGAGAAACGATGCGGTCGACGGCAGGTGATGATAAAGACTTGGTACGAATGGTGGTCAGCTTCTCTTGAAGTGTGATTTGGTAATGGTCGATCAGGACCTGCGTAACCTTAGAGAGCCATGTCCGATTGAGGGATCTAATATTCGCGTCAACAGCTGATGTTTTCATTGCTGGACGGATAAAACTATCCAACTCAGAGACTTTGCGTTTGAAGGTAAACGCTGGTTGGCCTTGCTGTTGAAGGGTAAGGATTGCCAAATGATGGAGGCACTGCAAAACTTGGAAGAACACCTTCCTCCTTATGAGTGGTGCCTGGTTGGCGTCGGTGGGCTGGTCGTCGTTTCTGTTGTTGGTCAGGTCAATGGTTACCTCTTGATTGGTAGGTGTTGTAGGTAGGTCGGCGATGGGGTGGGATATAGCTGGATGGGTTGGTTGGTGGTCGGCGATTGGTAGGTGGTAGAGGTCGATGGGAGACAGGGCCGTTGTAGGGTACGTGATACTGGTTTGGTTGACGATTAGTGTTTCTATGTCTGGCTTCTTGCCAGTGGTTGTTGTAGTTGGGGAGCATAATGAAAATAACTTGAGGTTAGAAAGGGAATGTACAGCGGATGTAACAGGAGGAAACTGTATATGCTAGCGTGAAAATGTGGGGATCAAATTATGCAAATAAGTCAAACTGGGTTTGGGGATATATAAAGTAAGATGAAAGTTATGATGAAAAATGCAAAAATATATATTTAGGTGATAAATAACGCTAACAATGATGTGAAAAATGATAACAAGTAAAACAAAAACTTACGCAATTGACACGAACCGGTTTTCGAAATATTATCCTTTTTCAAGTGTCGAGGAATGGTTATCAACCATGGATGGAACCATTCTAGTACTTTCATACCATTATTCTTCAATCATTTCTTTATCGTAATGATATAAATAATACCAACCCTTTAAAGATAAAGAAGGAGCCGTTAGATTATTGGAAATATTCTGAAATATAACTTCTTTCATTGCTTGATTGTATTTTATCAAACAAGCTCCGAGACACAACGTATCTCTTTTAGCGTAAGGTTCCCATTCGTGTCTTAAAGATTCCCAATTATCTTTAGTGTATTTTGCAATATTAACATCCTCGATATTTCTCAAATTCATTGGTAGATTAGATGAATTTCCCCATGCTGCCAAACTAGATGATTCATGTTGATAGGAACATATGAAATTAATATTTTGCAAATAATTAGAGTTACCCTTTATTTCTTTCTGTCTTTTCCATTTTTCTGTAAATCTTCATCAGTGAATGAATTAGTTAAAGGTACAGACAGAATTCCTCTGGGCGTTTTTAAAGGGCATTGTGTTAGTTTTTTTACATTTTTGATCATGATCCAGTTATCATAACCGCTAGCGTTATGAGCAATTAATGTTATTCTTTTTTGATCTATTTTTCCTAAACGTTGTAACATTAGATCGATGCAATCTGTACCTACAAATATTTCTACTATATTAGTCATGAGTTTGTTGTAAAATTCTTCTGGAATGGGATCTGTCGGCTTTAAATCTGGAAAGAGATTATTTATTCTGTTTAACATTTTTCTTAGTTTTTCTAAATTAATTAACGTGCAAGAATAAGGTATGGCTTTATTTTCGTTGTAGGTTTCGCAATCCCACGCGTATAAACAATTATCGGGGATGGTTCGAAAAACGTTTAGTTTTAGAGGTGAAACTTGCGTTATCGCATTATCATCTTTACAAGTTCTCCATACATTTTCATCGTAGTTATCTTCTATTTCTTTAATGCCTAAGGTTTTGTTATTTCTTCTTATCAAACAGAAATGTTCTTTGTGTAAATAAAATACCCAATCTTATTCTTCGGATACTTTCTTTGGTTGAAAATGTCTATGTTTGGGCATATAAATTTGAAAATAAGTATTAAATTTCTTATTGAATTCGCAGATTCTAGCAGATGTCATAACTCCTTTTCTGTTTGATTTTGAAAAACTGTTGATGAAATCTTGAAAACCTCTCGTGTAGTCTTCGTTTAAAACACGATTAACACACTTTACAAAGCAGTATCCATCGCTCGGTATATAACAATTTATACCGATATATTCATTTATCTTTTTGAGTAGGGTAACACCACTACCCTTTTTTGATCGTTTTATTTCTTTGAAATTGTTTTTACGGAAAATCATTTTTCCTGTGAAATACCAATCTGAAGCATCCGATTTATTATCCACCGCAGTGAAGAAATTGACAAAAGTTTTGGTATTAAAACCTACAAATTCCATGTCTTGTTTGTATTTTCCATCTTGAGTTATCTCTCCATCTATTTCAATTTGCCCTTTAAATGTTGTAAATTTATTAATGATAAGCTTAATAACATCGTAAAAAAGTTTATTTGATATGAATTTTTCATCGTCTACAATTTCAATTTTATTCATATTTTTAAAGCAACTATTTTTAACTAGGAATTTTTAACTTTTATTGATGATATTTCTACATCAAATTTATCTAAAATTTCATTGAATTTTTCTAATTCTTCAACTGTTATGTTCTTGTCTTCTCTCGATCTTTCGAAAAATATAAACAATTTATTGAGATATGCATTTTTCTGTTTTCCTTTTATAATGAGCTTTCTGTTTTGATGTAAAACCTAAAGTAATCAAACCACAAGATGAAGTTTGAACGGCAGTGAACGCGGCTAATGCAGTTGGGACAATTATTGGAAGCATTAATCCACCGGTTACGGCTGTTGCCACCGTTATCCCTACTGTTAGAACTGTACTTAATGTTTTGAAAACAGAATCGATTCTACTCCATGTTTTTCTGCATTTGTTGAATTGTTTTAGTTTTTCTTTTAGTTCGTTTTATTTTTCTATCATGTATTTTTGTCTACTTTCGAGTTCCATTTTTTAGGTAATTAAATTAAGTGAATTTCTGATAAAGCTGCTATGTGTTTATTTATAACAACAGATACTAATAATATTTGTTCTTTCGAATCATTAATCTTATTCAGATGAACTGAAAAATTTGGTTTTTTAATAAAGATGGATATATTAACATAATATGCATCATCTCTTATTAAAAAATTTTGTTTTTGTTGACTTTTATGAATATCAATTGAGGTAAATTTACCATTATCAACAAAATATAGTTTTACATAGTCAAAGTCTGTTGCTCGTAAAAACTCATAACTCATATTTCCTTCGTTTTGTGGTTTTGGATTTCTAATAATATTCAATGATGGTGGAGTTTCCGTTTCCAATAACATATCAAAATCACTCAACGTAAATTCTTCTTTATCTGGTATAATTAACATTCTAAACCTATCTATATATTTTCCACTCGTTTTAATTTCATATTAGTGATTAACCTTGGTGTTTTCGTCGTTAATTTCTAATTCTTTAGTTTCTACATATTTTATACCATTGATAAACTGAAGAACTTTGCGAACGTTAAATTGATTAGATTAATATGATCCTTGTTTGAAGAATATTGAATCAACTTTTACCTGGATAGGAAAATTAATTTCAATTACAATTTTCTTCGGAAAGGATAAAATGATGTAAAGATTTGTAGGGGGGGGGGGGGAATAAAATTTGAAGTAGAATATACTCTAATATTTGCTGTAAATCCATATTTTTTATATTCATAGTCTTTTGATTTATCAATATTATCAGTAATAGAAGGATCAATACGAGGTCCCGTTCCTCCAAATGGAAGATTGAAATAATATGATTCTTTCTTGAGAAACTTTTTTTCTAATGCGACTATATTTTTGTCCTGTTTCAAAACGAGGTTATTAATAGTGGTTATCTGTTGTTGAATGACACTATCATCAATGTTCTGTATTTGTTGATGAATATAGGTTTTTATTTCGCTATCATCAATATTTTGTATTTGTTGTTGAATATAGGTTTTGATTTCACTATCATCTATGTTTTGTATTTGTTTTTTAATATTTGTTAGTTCTTTTTGTAATTCACTGATAAGTTTAGTTTCCAGAGCATTTAATTCCTGTTGAAACGTATCTTCATTTTCATCTGGAATGTTATCTATCAATTGTTGAATGTCTAATTTTTGTTTTGCAATCTTATCCTCTAATTTAGATATTAATGAAATTAAATTTTGTAACTCAGTTTTATTCTCTACGTTGAACAATTCTTTTTGAATAAAACTTATTAATCTTTTTACCTCTTGTTGTAGTTTAGTATCATTAACAAAATTTATATTATTTAGTTGACGTTTGAAGAATCTTTTCACATTACTTATTTTATCTTCTAAATGGTTTTTATTTACTTCAATTGAATTTATTTGATCCTGTAAATATTTCTTGTGAACGGCGTCATTATCGTTTTCCTGAGACTTTAAATTAGTTATGGTAAAATTGTTCATATCTAAATCACCTTGAAGAGTGTCTCCGATTTGATCCACTAAGTAAGGTTTCGCTTTATTTATCTACGTTGTACTGTTAGGTTTTTAGTTTCTAAAGATAAAGAACCTAATCCAAACTTGTTCGCGATTTTTATTGAGTTAAATTTATTACAATTTTTTCGAACTGTTTTCCTAAACTCAACTGATATAAGACCCAAAGTGAAAGCTGACCACAAAACTTTTGTCCCGGTAATTGAATTTGAAATGTTGAACATTTGATTGGTTTATTAGTCAATTGGATTATCTCGTCAGTGAGTTCTAATCCGTAAGAATCGAAGAAATAAAAGTCAGAGTCTTTGTACAAAGCAGAATGATTAACTCCTTTTTGATCGGAAGTATGTATATTTGTTATAGCGTAAAATTTACCTTTCTTATATTTCAGATCATTTATTTCATCTCTCATACAATAATAAAACGGTGATATATTTAACTCATTCGCCCATCTCATAAGTTGAAAGTTTGTGGTTGTATCGGTTCCATATTTATCGAGACATTCATTCATTTTTAAAAGTCGGTTTTTTGAAGTTCGTTTTGATAAAACCTTCCTATGATTTGTTCTTTGTCTTGATCGATTAATTCATATGTCGGAGGTGATGAGCTGTTTACTTTATCAACGATGAATATTTCGTTCGTCCAGTATCCAACGTAACCTTTTTCGAATTTGCTTTTATATTTGAAAATACGAACTCGATCTCCGACTTTAAATTTGGGTTTGATATTTAAATTCTTTATTTCATTTTCGTAGTTATGTTGCGCGTTAATTGACTTTATAATATTTGGATTACTCTAGGCTTGTGTTGGTGTGACACCTATAGATGAATGAATTTTGTTATTGTATTCATCTACAACCTCTGGTCATATTTTAAGCCATTTTTGAGATTTCAATTCCGTGAATTTTTTGAATAATTTATTTTTTAGAGTCCTGTTAAATCTTTCTATTACTACAGCTTTACCTTCGTTATGAGTACTGTAAATTTCAAATCCCAGAGATTTCATATTTTTGTTATAAAATTCACTTCCTTTATCTACCCACAGTTTTTCTGGATGTCGGTTAGATTGTTTCATAATCGTTTCAAATGCGTGTTTGACTGATAATCCCGTTTTGTTTTTCAAAGGAATAACCCATACATATCTCGTATATAAATCTATAACTGTTAAGCAATATTTAAATCCTCTTTCGACTGGCATATGAATTAAATCGGCTGACCATATTTCATCTTTTTCAAACACTTTTACTTTTAAAAAGTTTTTAGTTTTTCTAAATTCTTTGTGAATTTCATCCGCTAATCCCATACCTAATTTCATCTTTGCTTTTAACAGTTTAATGATTAATGCTCTTTCCATTCTCTCTTTGAAAGTTGGATTTGGAATATTTTCAAGTTCGATTATCATTTGTCTGTCTGCTTCGTGTCTGAAGTTTATGTCTTTGTTTCTGTATATTATGTCGTGTTTAAGCGCAGCGGCGTCAACTCTATTGACTGGTTCTTCCCCTGGTTTGGGTTTATCGTTTCTAATCGCAGATCTAACCTAGTACCTGGACCGGTGTAATTATGACCGGGAAGATGTTTTTCTCCGGGATATTTCGCCCATGGAAACCCAGGAAGAGAACCCAATGATTTTTGTATATCTCCAATAAGTTTTTGGAGCGTGAGCGACTATCATTTTTATCCTATATCTTTAAAACCTTTTCCTTTCCTTTCTTCTAATCTCCTGTTTCGAAGTTCTCTTATTAGCTCTAATTCTTGCAACTCGTTAGATTGTTTCACTGTGTCGCTTATACTCTTTCCCGCTTCCGCGATTGAGCCGATGGCTTTCGCTCCGGTTGAAATGAGTGATTTGTTTTTTGAAACAAAACTAGCTACTTTTGGAATTATTTTTTTACCTAGAGAAAATAATGAAGAAAAGAAACCGTCGCGCGAATAATCTTCGAATCTCTGTTGTTCGTGTTTTAGAATTAAACTCATCCTATTTTTAAATGAATTAATTTAGTCTGTTTTTTTTATCCAAAAAATAGTTATCTCCCTTTTCTAGACTAAAAATAACATTACTTAAAACGAGGCTATTAAAAACCGGATGTTAAGCGAAAAAAGGATGTTATTTTATATAAGGGTATTTTTAATATGCTTTTTTTGATGGAATGTAGGAAAGTGATTAAAGGTGTTTTTTGGTGTAAGAATTTTATGAAATGTAGGGTGTTTTATGAAATGTAGGGAATTTAGGTCTTTTTTAAGTGTAAGAATTTATGAAATGTAGGGAATTTAGGTCTTTTCTTTTGAGAGTTCATAGATTGGTTGCATTTTTCCCATGAAATGAAATGGAATGTGGAAAAATGCGACCAATCTATGAGCTCATATACTACTAATGTGGGGAAGAATTGATTAATATGGACACTATTGATATATTGATTTGTGATCTAGCATGCGCTGTATACCTGTAACTTGTTATGTGCGGGTCAGCTTAAGTATCTATATAATTAAGTCTCTGTTTTTCTAGATATGAGAAATGGGATTACAAATTTTATGGTATCAACGAATTTGAAAGTTTACGAATGGATCCTCAACATAAATTTATATTAGATTCGACATACATGGCTTTAGAGAATGCAGGAATAACACGAAAAGAAATCAAGGGATCCAATACTGGCGTTTATATTGGTGGGTATGATGTGTTATAATTACAAAACCATTCATTCCACAGCTTAGGTTATGTTATTTAATAGTTTAGTTTTCAGTTTCAGTTTAAGGATCTGATATTATATAACAATGACATACAATAACAAATCTTATAACATGATATCTGCAATTTCCTTTGATCTTTTCGTTGTATAAACGGATGGGCGGCCCTTAGCCGTTTCATAAATCGTTTATATCGAAGTTATAGCAGTATTTACGATGTAACTATATAGAGAGGTGGAAGTGACTACAACAAACAGAACAAAACAAATTGTATTATTGAAAATAGAGACATATTTATTCATTTAAATGTTTATGTAATTTAAACAACAACGAGATTATGATGTAACAAACATCACTGGCTTATATGCCAAAATGCAGCATTTAATGCACGTGCGGTGGTTATTACTTAAAACGAAGGCCACTACCCCATCCGACAGACCTTTGTCAATATAACAACAACATACAATAACAGATCTAACATAATTAATTTCCTTTGATCTTTTCGTTTTAATGATGATAAAGCCTTTCTTGCATTTCGACCATACAAACAATAATAAATTAACAACAATTATACAAGCAATATAAAATGGATAACAAAAGAAACATGTAATAACTTACTGTCAGTAAATGTATAGAGAGAGGGGAGTGACTATACTTGTCTGCACACATCATCACTGACATATTAGCCCCAACCTCAACACGTGATACAACAAAACTAATTGTTTTCGTGAAAATAGAGACATAATTATTGCCAAACACAGATATTTTTGCTCATCTGAGTACTGTAAAAACATAAATACAACCAGTCCATTATATTTTTAAGGGTATGAAAGGTTATGAATTTTGATTATTTCACTAATCCCTCAATTTAATCACGCAACAATTACATACAAATTGAGAAGTTATTAGTTGTTTTTCTGCCACTCCCTCATTCACATGTCCAATCATTCCAATAGCAAGTACATTTTTGCTGTCCAAATCAAAGTCATCTACTGGCTATACTCGTATCAACTTCATGAGCCCAATGCTAGTGACACGAAATGAACCGTATCTTTTCTAAATGGCTTCAAAATGAGCACCAGAATGTCAGAATTAACAATCCAAAAATTGAAACTTTTTGTGAACAAACCATGCTACTTAATGTATATTTTTATTAATTTCCGATTGTCCAATGTTCATATTCCTTCGAGTGATTAGCGACGGTATATTTTCTTCATTATTTTCTCTAGGTAAAACAATGATTCCAATAGTAGCTAGCTTTGTTTCAAAAAACAAATCACTCATTTCAATCGGAGCGAAAGCCATCGGCTCAATCGCGAAAGCAGGAAAGAGTATAAGCGACACAGTGAAACAATCTAACGAGTTGAAAGAATTAGAGCTAATAAGAGAGCTTCTAAACAGGAGATTAGAAGAAAGGAAAGGAAAAGGTTTTAAAGTTATAGGACAAAAATGATTGTCGCTCACGCTCCAAAAACTTATTTCGGTTCAGGAGATATACAAAAATCACTGGGTTCTCTTCCTGGATTTCCAAGGTAAAGCTGTAGTAATAGAAAGATTTAACAGGACTCTAAAAAATAAATTATTTAAAAAGTTCACGGAATTGAAATCTCAAAAATGGCTTAAAATATTACCAGAGGTCGTAGATGAATACAATAACAAAATTCATTCATCTATAGGTGTCACACCAACACAAGCCTCGAGTAATCCAAATATTATAAAGTCAATTAACGCGCAACATAACTACGAAAATGAAATAAAGAATTTAAATATCAAACCCAAATTTAAAGTCGGAGATCGAGTTCGTATTTTCAAATATAAAAGCAAATTCGAAAAAGGTTATGTTGGATACTGGACGAACGAATTATTCATCGTTGATAAAGTAAACAACACATCACTTCCAACATATGAATTAATCGATCAACACAAAGAACAAATCATAGGAAGGTTTTATCAAAATGAACCTCAAAAAACCGACTTTTAAAAATGAATGAATTTCTCGAAGATGAAGAATTTGATAGAAGATTAAGAGATGTAGACAAGCATTTACGCTTTCTTAAATTTAAATTTAAATGCAAATTTATGTTCAAAATATTATTGAATGTGTTTTATCAGAATGTAATAAAAAAATTTTCAAACACAAACTACGTATATATTTCAACAATACTCCTCAAAAAACCGACTTTTAAAAATTAATATCTTTCTCGATAAATATGGAACCGATACAACCAAAAACTTTCAACTTATGAGATGGCAGATGAATTAAATATATCACCGTTTTATTATTGTATGAGAGATGAAATAAATGATCTAAAATATAAGAAAGGTAAATTTTACGCTGTAACAAATATACATACTTCTGATCAAAAAGGAGTTCATCATTCTGCTTTGTACAAAGACTCTGACTTATATTTCTTCGATTATTATGGATTAGAACCCACTGAAGAGATAATGCAATTGACAAATAAACCAAATGTTCTTCCTTTCAAATTCAATTACCCGGACAAAGGTTTTGTGGTCAGCTTTCACTTTGCGTTTTATATCAGTTGAGTTTAGGAAAACAATTCGAAGAAATTTAAAATGGCAGACAAGTTTGGATTAGGTTCTTTATCTTTAGAAACTAAAAAACCTAACACTACAGCTTTTAATAAATAAAGCGAAACCTTACTTTGTGGATCAAATCGGATACACTCTTCAAGGTGATTTAGATATGAACAATTTTAGCATAACTAATTTAAAGTCTCCGGAAAACGATAATGACGCCGTCCACAAGAAATATTTACGGGATCAAATAAATTCAATTGAAGTAAATAAAAACCATTTAGAAGATAAAATAAGTAATGTGAAAAGATTCTTCAAACGTCAACTAAATAATAAAAAATTTGTTAATGATACTAAACTACAACAAGAGGTAAAAAGATTAATAAGTTTTATTCAAAAAGAATTGTTCAACGCAGCGAATAAAACTGAGTTACAAAATTTAATTTCATTAATATCTAAATTAGAGGATAAGATTGCAAGACAAAAATTAGACATTCAACAATTAATAGATAACATTCCAGATGAAAATGAAGATACGTCTCAACAGGGATTAAATGCTCTGGAAACTAAACTTAACAGTGAATTACAAAAAGACCTAACAAATATTAAAAAACAAATACAAAACATAGATGATAAAGAAATCAAAACCTATATTCAACAACAAATACAAAACATAGCAACAGACTCTGAATATATAAAACTATATTTTGTTAATAAAAGTATTTCACCTGATTTATTTACCTCAGTCGATATTCATAAAAGTCAACAAGATAAAGAATTTATAACATTTTCATCAATTATTGAAAAAGTTGGAGGTATATATAGCTGTAGTTGTGGGATAAAAATCAATATCGAAAAACCAAAATTTTCAGTTCATCTGAATAAGATTAATGATTCAAAAGAACAAATATCCTTAGTAAGTGTAAAAGTTTATATTATTATACCTGAAACAATTATAACAGATAATGAAAAAAATATACCAGTTAAACTGAGTGATCTATTAAATATTAAACGCTATCCATCTTTTGCTTTATCAGAAATTCATTTAATTTAATTACCTAAAAAATGGAAAAACAAAACGAACTAAAACAAAAACTAAATCAATTCAACAAATGCAGGAAAACATGGAGTAGAATCGATTCTGTTTTGAAAACATTAAGCACAGTTCTAACAGTAGGGATAACGGTGGCAACAGTCGTAACCGGTGGATTAATAATCAATAATTGTCCCAACTGTATTAGCCGCGTTCACTGCCGTTCAAACTTCATCTTGTGGTTTGATTACTTTAGGTTTTACATCAAAACAGAAAGCTCATTATAAAAAAAACAGAAATTTTAAATACATATCTTAATAAATTATTCATTTTTTTCGAAAGAAGACAAGAACATAACCATTGAAGAATTAGAAAAATTCAATGAAATTTTAGATAAATTTGATGTAGAAATATCATCAATAAAAGTTAAAAATTCCTAATTAAAAATAGATACTTAAAAAAGAAAATGGATAAAATTGAAAACTTAAACAAACCTCTATCTAAAACTTTTTTTTCAAAGATATTCAAGGCAATACCTAATTTATTTTCGCGTAAATTTGACGAAGAAGATGAAGAAAAATTTAGATATCTAGTTGATAGGACAGCCGAAATTTTTAAAGAAGAGGAGAATGAAATTAAAATATCAACCACAAATATGCTTTTTTCAGAATTAATCAATAGAATAACTATTCTATTTAAAGATTTTAAAGTTAAAGGTCAAATTGAAATAAATGGTCAAATATATGAAGTGGAGAAATATAGACAAGACATGAGATTATCTGGATTCAATGCTCAAACTTTCCAGATTATTTATTCAAAGATGCATGATAAATCTGACGCATCTGATTGGTATTTTAAAGGAGAGATTATTTTCTGCAAAAATAAATTATGAATAGTAAAAAGATCTAAAACTGGCAGAGGTGGTAATTTACTTAAAACGATAAATGAATACAAAGGCGAAAATTGTTTCATACCAAGCGATGGTTATTGTTTTATAAAGTGTGTAAATCACTTCATGAATAAAGACTTAACAAAAGAATTTCAAGATTTCGTCAATAGTTTTCAAAAATCAAACAGAAAAGGAGTTATGACATCTGCTAGAATCTCTGAATTCAATAAGAAATTTAATACTTATTTTCAAATTTATATGCCCAAACATAGAAATTTTCAACCAAAGAAAATATCCGATTGGGTATTTTATTTACACAAAGAACATTCCTGTTTGATAAGAAGAAATAACAAAACCTTAGGCATTAAAGAAATAGAAAATAATTACGATGAAAATGTATGGAGAACCTGTGGAGATGATGATGCACTAACATGTTTTGCTCAGTTAAAACTAAACGTGATTTCACAACCTCATGATGATATTTTATACGCATGGGATTGCGAAACCTATAGCGAAAAT